ATAAGCTGGCACAATGGGTTCCCCTGTGTTAATATTCCATACCATCCTGTCCCACTCAGGCCTCCTCCCAGCTAATAAACACAGCATTTTTAGGTGACAATATCTTCTGCCTAGTAACAGGAATTACAATCCCCAATTACTTCTTGCTTTCCCTTCATTCTCCCACTCATCCACCTATTGGGTCAAATTAGGAAAAGTTGGTTTGGAGCCTACATCCAGTGTTGACTTTAGCACGTGTATTGTCTTAGAAGGTGAGCTACCTCTGTCAGTAGCAGTTTCCTCATCTGTGAAATGGGGCTAATAATTTGCTTTATTGAACACCTCGTGGGCCAAGTACTAGGAGAAAAGTAAGGCATACAAAGACAGACCAGACACAATCCTTGCCCTCAAGAAACTCACACTTAACAAGGTGAGAAAGACATGGAAACCAACATGTGAAAACGATGTTAAGAGCCTGAGATCCTTTCCAGGGACTTGATTTTTCCACTCACATGGTAAAGTGTCTGCTGCCAATGCAGGAGACCCGGGTTGGATCCCTGGATTGGGAAGATCCCCTGGAGAAGGAAATGGCAACCCACTTCAGTACTCTTGCCTGGAAAATTCCATGGATGAAGGAGCCTGGCAGGCTACAGTCCATGAGGTCGCAAAGAGTCGGACACGACTGACCAACTTCACTTTCACACTTTCTCTGTTTTAAGATTGTTTTTCTCTTTCCATTCCCAACGAACTTCACTACACTGGCTTGGGAAGTTGCTGAGAGTCAGTTTGAGGGGTTCAGACTTCCTTCTTCCTTTCCATTCCATACCTCCCTGCCACCCTACACCAGCCAGGTATGTATACCTCCCACTCTCTCACCATTTTCATCTACTCTCCACTCACTAATGAATTCAGCCATTCATAAAACATGTATGTGATGATATAATTTTATGTGTCAGTTTGACTAGGCCAGGGGACTTCCTCGATGGTCCAGTGGCTAAGACTCTGAATTCCCAATGCAGGAGCTCCATGTTCGATCCCTGGTCAGGGAACTAGGTCCCACATGGGGTGCAAGTAAGACCTGGCAGCTAAATTAATATATTTGAAAAAAAAATTTTTTTTGACTGGGCTAAAGAATGCCCAGGACCTGATGAAACCATACAGTTCAGGTGCATCTGTGAGGGTGTTTCTGGAAGACACTAGCATTTGAGTCAGTAGACTGAGTAAAGAAGACTGCCCTCATCAGGGTCGGTGGGCATCCATCTGAGGGCAGAATAGAACAAAAAGGAGGAGGAAGGGCATCTCTGCTCTCTGAGCTGGACTCCCATCTTCTCCTGCCCTCAGGCATCTGGTTCTTGGTCTTTGGACTCAGACTGGGATTTACCCCCATCAACCCCTTGATTCTTAGGCCTCTGCACTCATACTGGGACTTAAAACCATTGGCTCCCTGGTTCTCAGGCCTTCGGACTGGGATTAAATTGCTGCACTGGTTCTCCTGGTTCTCCAGCTTGCAGACCGCAGATCACGGGCATTCTCAGCCTTCATAATCCAAAGAGACAATTCCTATAGTAAATCTCCATGTTGCAGGAGACCTGAGTTCAATCCCCCAGGAAAGATCCCTGTGTCAGGAAGATCCTCTGGAGAAGGAAATGGCAATCCACTCCAGTATTCTTGCCTGGAGAATTCCATAGACAGAGGAACCTGGCGGGCTACAGTCCATGGGGTCACAAAGAGTCGAACGCAGCTGAGCGACTTTCACTTAACATGTGTATTCTATTGGTTTTGTTTCTGTGGAGAACCCTAATACAACATATTAAGTGCTCATGCAGTCCCAGGGAGTTAGACAGATGACTAAAGAGATGGGATAATGTAGTTAAAATCAGGACAGACCTCAGTTCAGATTCCAGTTTTGCCATTTCCCCCAACCTCACCCCCCAACCCCTACGACTGGGTGACCTTGCATGAGTCACTGTACTTCTCTGGGCCTTTGTTTTTCTCTTCTGAGAAACAAGTTATCACTATAGGCTTATTGTGCAAATTAAGTGAGAGCTTAATCTGTAGCCTCAGGCAACAGTGCCCCTACTGCACATGCGCAGTAAAAAGTAGCTGCAAGGATTTGTAGCAACCCTTACTTAAGTGTCTCAGGTAGGATGTCCCAGAAGCNGCAACTGCGTGGAACCAAGCGAAGTCTCTCGGAGGGCAACCCGGGCTCAGAAGACTAGAGTATTGATACTCCTGTGTTTATCTGTCATCGATTAAGGGCTGCGGGGTGGGAGAGCGAACGATGTCGGGGAGAAAGGTTTCCAGGCACAGGTGGGCTGCTGACAGTGACAACACACTGGCAATAGGCACCAAGATGGGCCGAGAAGAAATGCGCGGAACAGTCTCTGCCTAAGGGGGTCAGAGCCTAGGAGGGGAGGGGAGATGGCAATACGCCCCGCCCCCTGAGATCGTCCCAGGCACACCTGCGCCGCATAACTTAGCTGGCCCGAGACGGGGCACCGCTTGAGGGCGGGGAGCAGCGAGGGAGAGGCGTCGCGGAAGATAAATGCAACTGGGTGGGGGAGAGGAGGATTAATCCAGGCAGCGGAAACAGCACGCACACGGGCAGAGGTTCAGGGCGGCTCCTGGAGCGAGTGGGCGTGGGGCTGCGAGGCCCGAGCTTTTCCGCGCCTGCTCCTGCGCGGGCAACCCGCGCCCGCCCCTTCCTGGTGGGTCCTCCCTTCGGGCACCAGGCCTTCCTGCCGCGCCTGGCTCGGGGCCTCCTGTAAGTCTCCGCTGACTACTCCAGCTCCTCCAGGGCGACTCTGTTCTGAACTCATGGCGTTTACTGCCAAGGCTTTTTACTGTGATGTTTACTCATGTGATTATGAAGTTAGTGCACCCTTACAGTCTGTGACATTGTTATTTAACTTTGCATGTAGATTCTGTCTCCCTTGACCTAATTTTGGCTTCCTGAGAGTGGGAACTGTATATTTTTATTCGTTGTATTACCCTGTGGCACCTAACATTGGAGGATATATTGAGGGTGTGAGGTAATGACTGAATGAATGGGTTGAATCTAGTCTACTTTGAAGCTTATTAAATTACACACTCGCCTCTACTGTTCTTACCAGTTTTAAGATTATTCCCAAACTCTCAATTTAGATAGTCTTTTGTTGTTTGTTTTTGTTTTTCAAACCAATCACATGTAAGTTTTGATGGGAGTTATCACATAAGCAAACTGAGTCCTAAGGGGTGGATTTTAAAGTCAGGGAACCCTCATTTCTTTTAGCCCCTCTTCAATCCCACCCAGCCAGCCACTTGATTGACCCTAGGTCTTTGGTATCTCTAGGCCCCACCCCTTCCAGCTTTCCTGCTCAAATCCACTCTGAAAGAATTTGGGGAAACTATGTACCTTTTACCCATTTTAAAGTCAACAACTAACATTTTTAATCTTAAGTTTAAATACTTGAAAGGGCACACTTTCTGGGGAATTGTAAATACTTATATATTTAGAAAGTCATATCACTTTTAAATCTAGTGGATGGAATAGGACACGTAGCCCTTTCATGTTCATTAACACCCTTTTAGTAAGTGAACAAATCCATTAGCCAGTCAGCAAATTTACCTCTTTTATCTTTTTTTTTTCTCTCATTTATCTTTCTTTTTAGTTTCTCTTTCCATTTCATTTCCCTTATAGTTTTATCCTAATGAAATATTTTTTTCTCCATTGCATCACTTTTTTTGTATTTTAATGTATTTTTGGAAAGTCTTTTATTGTATATCTCTAAAAAAATATGTACATAAATTTAAATTTACTTTGTGTGACCATAAGACTATAAGTATTAAAAACAATTACTCTGTCCTGGATTTAAAATTAGAATTATTAAAAGATGCAATTGATCAAAACTACAACAATTTTTATGAAATTAAAAGACTCTTCCTCCTTAGAAGAAAAGCTATGATGGAACTAGACAGCATATTAAAAAGCAGAGACATTACTCTGCTGACAAAGGTCCGTCTAGTCAAGGCTATGGTTTTTCCAGTAGTCATGTATGGATGTGAGAGTTGGACTGTAAAGAAAGCTGAGCACCAAAGAATTGATGCTTTTGAACTGTGGTGTTGAAGAAGACTCTTGAGAGTCCCTTGGACAACAAGGAGATCAAACCAGTCCATCCTAAATGATATCAGTCCTGAATATTCATTGAAAGGACTGATGCTGAAGCTGAAATTCCAGTACTTTGGCCACATGATGCAAATAACTGACTCATTGGAAAGGACCCTGATGCTGGGAAAGATTGAAGGCAGGAGGGAAAGGGGCCACCAGAGGATGAGATGGCTGGATGGCATCATCGACATGAGTTTGAGCAAGCTCTGGGAGTTGGCTTGCTGCAGTCCATGGCGTTGCAAAGAGTCGGACACGACTCAGCAACTGAAATGAACTGAACAAATATTGACAGTGATTAAACAAAAAAGTAAAAAAAAAAAACACACACACACACAAAAAAAGTAAATTTTACTGAAAACACATCTCTTAATGAGATGGAAAGGGCTGATTTTACCAGCTCCAGAAAGAGCACTGTGGTCCAGTTCACAGTGGGTGAGAGAGCTCAGCTTTCCTCTGTCTAGTGAGAGAACAGTTAACAGAGGCAGGTGGGAAACACAGTTTTCAAGAAGATTCATTTTACGAAGGAACACATATGTTTGTGGAAATTGATCCCCCTTAAAACCTAGTCCTGCCCATGAAAGCCCATGGAGAGTTATCATGTTCACTTAGAGTAGGCAAACCGTCAACTAGTTAAAGAGAGACTTAACTTGGTTTCTTATTCTCCAAAATAGGGATCTCAGAATGGGTCTGAATTTCCTTGTAACTCTTGATAGTTGCATTTCCAACCTTCTTCCTGATGAGTCCCCATCCTTATGCATATGGGCAAGACAGGAACTCAGATGACTTCCAGATCACTGTAGGTTTGTGGCTGTGACAAGTGCATCTGAACATGCAAAGACCTGCTCATTGGCAAAGAAGTAGCCTAGAGTCAAAATTAAGAAAACATGGTTTTTAAATTTTTCCACTTCATGGAAGCACCACGGCTCCTGATAGTTCCCAATGGTTGGCCACCAGGTGGCAGCAGAGAGAACATAGTGCTGCCAGCCCTGCCCCTGAGTTCCAGGGTTGGGGAAGAGGAGGTGGGAGGTGGGGGTAGGGATGTTCTGCTCTCAGAGAAAAAAGGAGAGGGAAAGTGGGCTTAAATACCCATCTCAAGAGGGGGCAGAAAATATGGACAACATCTTCAGAATAAAACTGAAGGAATGAGGAAAGGAATTAAGGAGTTAAGCTAAATTGTGGAGAATTCGAGGGGAATCAGAAGAGTGGAGATGGGTTTGAGAGCAGGGGTCCAGGATGCCTCTGGCGGCGCAGTTATCTGTACTCCTCCCTGGGTGGGTCAAGGTCTGGCTCTTCGTGAGATCCGTGGTCCACCTCAGGGGCAGGTGGCCAGGGGTTTTCTGGAGGCTGGGGTCCTGCGGGCCAGGGGTCGTCAGGCCGAGGAGGTTGAGGGGGATCAGTTCTAGGGGATTCAGGAGGCCAGACTCCAGAATCAGGCAGGTCTCTCCAGGGACGACTGGGGCCTGGAGGTGGAGGATCCTCAAAGAGAGGGGGTGCCCCTGGCCAGGGGTCACCAGGGATTGGGGGGCCCTGAGGCAATGGTGGAGGGCCCTCCTCCTCTGAGATCTCTCTGGATGAGGGAGAAGGGTCGTCTCCACTGCCTGAGATGCCTGTAGAGGAGGAAGGAGGAAGATAAGAGGTTGTGAGGGTCCCCCCCCTCCCGGCAGCTAGTACCCCAGGAGCATCGCCTCTCTGCGACGGACCACAGCCTGAGCTGATCTAACAAACAAAACTCAAAAGTAACTCTCCCCGCGTTTGCAGAATACCAACACAATCTTAAAATGACATAAAACCCTGTCTTGAACTACGGACTAGACCAACTTTAAACTGACATGACCTCCCTTCTCCCACATAAGCTCCCTCCAACCCTGTTTGGGACACCCCACTGGGAGGACCCCTATACATGTCTAAGGTCCCAAAGCTGTCTACACCCTGGCCCCATGTGGCACCCAGATCCCATCTCTACAGTGACCTTCTCCCCTTAACAGAGACCTCAGCTCTGATGAACACTTGCCTGCATACCTGAATGCTGATCTAAGTTGCCACGTGGAGCTAAAGCCAAACCAGCAAAATGTTTATTCTGTGCTAAAATGCACCTAGTCACATCACCTCTGTCCCCTTAACTCTTCCCCTCACATGCGTCTCCCAGGATCTCCCAGAATCTCCCTGTCCTTATGCATCCATCTCAGCCTCGCCTCATCCTGACTGGTCCCCGTCACCCCAAATCACACTCCGGGCCTCTGTTCCCAGCTCACCTCCAGCAAACAAGCAAAGGACCAAGATCCCCAGGAGTTTCCAGTTGAGCATCTTGGCTATCTCCTGGCCCCCAAAGTCAGGGGTCAGCTGAGTCTGGGAGACTGAGAACCCTAAGAGGCTTTATAGGGGAGGAGGGAGTGGTGAAGGCTGATCTCTGGGGAGGGGCCGGCCCTGTCACACAAGGAATTGCATCCAAACCTGACTGGTCAAACCTGTCTGGAAGCCCATGGCTGATGTGTAATCACTGATGGTGGCGTCCCTCATTTTAGTCCCCCAGCTCAGGACCCAGCCACCCAGGCTTTATCGATGACCTAGACCTTGGTCACCCCACCCTTGTTTTCACGTCCCCCTTCATACACACCCTGCAGCAAATCCTAATAACAGGGACTTCTACCTCTCATCCCTCGAGGTCCCTGGAAGCCAAGGAATGGGAGCAAGCATGCGTGGGGAAGCAGTGTAATTACAGGGGCTGAGAGGGAAGATGCAGGGCAGAGGGCGGGCAACTGGGGGGACAAGGAGGGAGAGGATGGGCAGGGGTGCTCTCTCAAACACCTGGGACACAGCCAGAGCCATCTCAGCTGGTACACCGAGCCTCCTCCACCCACGCCAGGGTAACCCTCTCTTGGGGCTCAATTCTTCCTGGAATTTGCACTCCCCAGCATACACCTTCTCCAGGCTCAAAGGGGGCTTCCCAAGTAGTGACACACGAGGAATTTCATCCAGGAGCCACCTGAGGTGACTGCAGGTGAAGAAGGAAGTACAAGACATCCTGATTCCTTCTCCCCACCCCAAGGATGGTTCCAGTCAGTCACACCCAGAGGCTCTGGAAGAAGCTGCCTCAGCTCCCCCTGGCACCTCAGCCTCTTCCGCCTCCCTCTTGAATCTTCACCGCCCTTCCCCTGGTCCTTGGTGGGAACTCTCTGCTCCCCGCTTCTCTCCCCTCATCCTTCAGACATCAGTCTGTCTGGTCTGAGTCGCTCAGAGATGTCCCTTGAACTTTTCATTCAGGAGGCCAGACTCCAGAATCAGGCAGGTCTCTCCAGGGACGACTGGGGCCTGGAGGTGGAGGATCCTCAAAGAGAGGGGGTGCCCCTGGCCAGGGGTCACCAGGGATTGGGGGGCCCTGAGGCAATGGTGGAGGGCCCTCCTCCTCTGAGATCTCTCTGGATGAGGGAGAAGGGTCGTCTCCACTGCCTGAGATGCCTGTAGAGGAGGAAGGAGGAAGATAAGAGGTTGTGAGGGTCCCCCCCTTCCCGGCAGCTAGTACCCCAGGAGCATCGCCTCTCTGCGACGGACCACAGCCTGAGCTGATCTAACAAACAAAACTCAAAAGTAACTCTCCCCGCGTTTGCAGAATACCAACACAATCTTAAAATGACATAAAACCCTGTCTTGAACTACGGACTAGACCAACTTTAAACTGACATGACCTCCCTTCTCCCACATAAGCTCCCTCCAACCCTGTTTGGGACACCCCACTGGGAGGACCCCTATACATGTCTAAGGTCCCAAAGCTGTCTACACCCTGGCCCCATGTGGCACCCAGATCCCATCTCTACAGTGACCTTCTCCCCTTAACAGAGACCTCAGCTCTGATGAACACTTGCCTGCATACCTGAATGCTGATCTAAGTTGCCAGGTGGAGCTAAAGCCAAACCAGCAAAATGTTTATTCTGTGCTAAAATGCACCTAGTCACATCACCTCTGTCCCCTTAACTCTTCCCCTCACATGCGTCTCCCAGGATCTCCCAGAATCTCCCTGTCCTTATGCATCCATCTCAGCCTCGCCTCATCCTGACTGGTCCCCGTCACCCCAAATCACACTCCGGGCCTCTGTTCCCAGCTCACCTCCAGCAAACAAGCAAAGGACCAAGATCCCCAGGAGTTTCCAGTTGAGCATCTTGGCTATCTCCTGGCCCCCAAAGTCAGGGGTCAGCTGAGTCTGGGAGACTGAGAACCCTAAGAGGCTTTATAGGGGAGGAGGGAGTGGTGAAGGCTGATCTCTGGGGAGGGGCCGGCCCTGTCACACAAGGAATTGCATCCAAACCTGACTGGTCAAACCTGTCTGGAAGCCCATGGCTGATGTGTAATCACTGATGGTGGCGTCCCTCATTTTAGTCCCCCAGCTCAGGACCCAGCCACCCAGGCTTTATCGATGACCTAGACCTTGGTCACCCCACCCTTGTTTTCACGTCCCCCTTCATACACACCCTGCAGCAAATCCTAATAACAGGGACTTCTACCTCTCATCCCTCGAGGTCCCTGGAAGCCAAGGAATGGGAGCAAGCATGCGTGGGGAAGCAGTGTAATTACAGGGGCTGAGAGGGAAGATGCAGGGCAGAGGGCGGGCAACTGGGGGGACAAGGAGGGAGAGGATGGGCAGGGGTGCTCTCTCAAACACCTGGGACACAGCCAGAGCCATCTCAGCTGGTACACCGAGCCTCCTCCACCCACGCCAGGGTAACCCTCTCTTGGGGCTCAATTCTTCCTGGAATTTGCACTCCCCAGCATACACCTTCTCCAGGCTCAAAGGGGGCTTCCCAAGTAGTGACACACGAGGAATTTCATCCAGGAGCCACCTGAGGTGACTGCAGGTGAAGAAGGAAGTACAAGACATCCTGATTCCTTCTCCCCACCCCAAGGATGGTTCCAGTCAGTCACACCCAGAGGCTCTGGAAGAAGCTGCCTCAGCTCCCCCTGGCACCTCAGCCTCTTCCGCCTCCCTCTAGAATCTTCACCGCCCTTCCCCTGGTCCTTGGTGGGAACTCTCTGCTCCCCGCTTCTCTCCCCTCATCCTTCAGACATCAGTCTGTCTGGTCTGAGTCGCTCAGAGATGTCCCTTGAACTTTTCCGCAGCAAGGACTCCTTTGTCAGGATGTCTCATGAGCCACTCAGAAGCAAATGTCCAAAACTGAACTCACTTCCTCCACAACCTGGTCTGCTCCCCAGCGGTCAGGAATACCACTGTCCCCTGCAGCTCAATTTTTCAGACTTCATTCTTCTCTCTCCTCATCCCGTGCCCCCAAACCCGTCCTCCACAGCCAGTTGATAGGATTTTTAAATATGTAGGTCAAATTGTGTGGCTGTTCTCAGTTTAAAAAGTACTCCAGGGGCTGTCTATTTATTTATTTAATCTGGCCGGACCAGGTCTTGAGTTGTGGCATACAGGATCTTTAGTTGTGGCATGTAGAAATCTAGTTCCCTGACCAGGGATCGAACCTGGGCCCCCTGCTTTGGGAGCGCGGAGTCTTAGCCACTGGACCACCAGGAACGTCCCTCCAAGGGGGTTTTATTGACTCAAGAGTAAAACCCTAGCTCCACCAGGCCTGGCCTCTCTCTGCGGCATCCTCCCTTGGGCTCCCTCCAGCCTCTGGACCTGTCCGTCCTCGTGCTTCTCCCAGGAGGCTGCACTGCCTGCTCCTTACCCTGCTCCTGGCCTCAGCAGCACATCCCTCCTGAGAGAAGCCCTGCCTGTCCCTTCATCTAAAGCGGCCCCTCCCCACAGAACTAGTTTCTATCATGTCACTCATTTTTTTCCTCTTCACAGCACTTGTTTGAAACACTCATTTGTTCATGTAGGTACCTGCCTGTCGTCTGTCTCTCCCACCAGAAGTGTCTCGGGAGCAGGGACCCACCCATCAATCAAACCCACCAGTGCCCCCACCAAGGCAGGATGCTGCCTGGCTCTGTGATTCCTGCTGAGCGTGTGAATGTTTTATCTGCCTCGTGCCCTTGCCTTGACCATTTCCCAGAGGTAGTTTTAAGACAAAAATTGGGAATAAAACAAAACCTGGAGCTTCTCCAAAAACCTCCCAGGCAGCCTAGGAAAGGGGTTTTGAAAAAGGAATCATCTAGAGAAAGAGCTGTATAAGGGACTGGTTCTCATATTTCCCAGACAAGAGAGGCTCCGGGGAGAAAATTTCCTTGTATCCCCAAAGAGAACTGTCCAAACCATAACTCCTACTGTTGTCATCTTTATTGAGCCACGGGAGAATTCATGACATCTTGGCAGCTGGTGTCCCTGAGGGCGGCTGGAGGAAGTCCCCTCCCCGACCCATTCCCCTTCCATCCTCATCCTCCTGGTCCTCACAGCTGGTCAGAGGCAGACTGAAGGAGAGGTCTGGCTGTCCCCTTCACAAATGGCTTCCTCTTTGGAAATGGCCTCACTCAGGCCCTGCAGGTCGTCAAGCAAGACAGAAAGGGATCCTGGAGGGACAGGAGGTGGACAAGGCCGTCACAGTCACAGTGAAGAGGAACAGGGCTGCTACCAGATGTGGGAGGGTTATGAGAAAGAAAGCTCTTGGCCCAAGGCAGGCTGTGGGCCTCCAGGGTCACAGAGAACAAGGCTCAAGCCCTGCAGAGTGCCTGGAGGAAAGATGCCCAGGGTCCCCCTGCCCTCCGTCCCTTACCTTTGATGGACTCCTTGGTGCAGAGAGCCGCTGCCGGGGGTGTGGGTACTGACGACTCTGAGGGCTGAGGGCTGGGCTCCACAGGTACGCCCTTATCCGACGGACAAGGAAGAACTGCCAACAGTCGCTGCTGCTTGTAACGGGAGAGGAGACCCTCCTGCTGCAAGGTGGCCTGGGAAGGAGAGGGTTAAACGCCACCGAGCCCAGGCAGGGCCCCCTCCCCTCTCCCCAGCTCTGCTCCCCAGCCAGCCCAAGAAGGGCCCAGTCTCTCCGCCTCCTACCAGCATGAGGTTCTTGTCCCTCTCCAGCTCCTTCAGGCGCTGGGTCAGCCGCTGCCCCTCCTCCTTCCGGGCCTCATCCTGCAGGCGCCGGAGCTCCTGGTTCCGCTCCTTTTCCCGGGTGGCTTTGCGCTGGATCTGGCGTAGGGAGATCACTGCAGGAAAGCCGGGCCACAGAGGGGATGGGTGTTGGCAGCTCAGAGGCTGCGGGGAACTGAGAACACCAGCCTAGAAGCATGGGCGGGCACACTGGGTCCCCAGCTCTGTGACTCAGGGAGCCACGGACGCTTTGTGGCATTCAGTCTCTGCTGTACAGACGGTGGGGTGGTGGATGCTCTAGAATCTTGTGAATCTGTCAACCCCAAGTACCTCCCGCATCCCTGAAGCTTCCTGGAGGGCAGGAGGGGAAATCGGAATAGGG